TTTCTTCGGCATATTTCATACCACTGTGATAATTGAGCACAAATTCAATCAATGCAATTTTTGTGTAATACTGGTACTCTATTCATGGGCTAGCCATTGGATCGGGTCCCTGTGGCTTAATGGTCTACGAGCGCTCTAGCCTTGTAACCAGAAGGTTCGGGGTTCGAACCATGGTGGTGGGTGCATACCGTTGAAGAGTTCCAAACTAGTATGAAACAGATGTCCATTACTCCCTGCAGGTTTTCCAATGGTTCTCCAACTTTGAACAAAGCAAGAATTACAGCTTTTGCAGAATAAAGTGGTACAACCTCTTATTTCGTTGGCTTCTCATCAGCTGCTTACAACCCTAAGTCATTATTAAGTATATCTACAAAAACAATTTTAACATACTTGCACAGAGATCATTTTAAACAAAAATCAATCGATCAGTATATGCATACAGTAATTATATATATATATATATATATATATATATATATAATATTAAACACTATTCCGAACAATAATAATCATATACAATGAAAACTTTTCAGCATTACGCATTCAAATGAAAGAGAGGGTGGAAATATCCAGTTACCAGGCAGGGCAAAGAAAGATTGATAACTTTCTGAACGCACAAATCAGGTTTCAGGCGCTTGATGGAGATGGCTTCAGCAGACTTGAGGAGAATTGAGCTCTTTTGCTTAATGATAATTTTGAACGACTTTTCGACGTCCACCCCATGACCCGTGTCGAGGAGATGCCTGGCGATGGCACTGTTTAAAGCATTTGCTCCCTTTAGACATAGACGTTTTGGTATATGTTCAGAAAATCGTAGATATGGCCTCCTTCTTTCTGTTCTTCCAATGTTGTAACTGCTTCCGCAGATACATGTCAGCTCATGATGAAATCCCCCAACTAATACTGAATTTCTCACATAAATTTATTTTATAGGTAGGTTTAAAAGAGATGTAAGTGTCAATTCTATATCGTGTTTCTAACAAGATATTTTGCAACAGAACAGTAAGAGGATTCGATTCACTTATGAAGCCATTTAGAAGTATGCTCTGAAACCCTTATTTGCAGAGGTTGGGGAATCCTCCCAATGTGTGGGTGTGTGAATCCACACGTACATTTAAATTAATAAATACAGTGGGATGTGACATCATTTTTCGTATATTCTTAAAGCTTAGATGGATTTACAGGCTTCTCATTCTCATTTATTCGGATCTCAGCTGCATTAAAAATATTTTTTTAAATATATATTTTAACCTCAGAGTTAAATCTTTGTCGAATTACCAAGCTCTAATGATCACCCTTGTAGGATAGCTTGATATGCATACATCTTCCTTAGCGATGAGTTGAAGAATGGATCTTGATGCTGTGACCCCCCCCCCCTTATATCTCCTTACAAACTTCTCTGGATAAGTTACAGGATTTCATCATGAGCTGACATCAGTTAAAGAACAATTGGAAAACCTGCATAAAATAATGCACAGTTGTTTCGTCCTGATAATGGACTCTTCATCAGTGCTCACCAACCAACTGGAGCTAGAAGCCAGGACCTCTCAGCCACACGGCCAGCCCGTAGGCCATTAAGCCCCCAGTCCATGGATTCCAACTTCTATCAATTCATGACATTGAGCGGCTGTCACTAGCCAATGTGATCCATGGCGAGTATTTGTTCTCACCTCCTACCACCTGTTGTACTCTGCTTGTCACAACTCCCCAGTCAAACCCCAGGCAACTGCCTACCTTCTCTGGATAATGACCATCAACCAGAGTTTCCGTCAGTTTCCGAAAGAATACAAAAATTTTATTTTTAATGCCACCAAGGTAATGAATTAGTTTTTAAGAGTTTCTTTGTAGGGATCTAATTGAAAACTGACAGTGAGTATTGTACAGTTATTTCGTCCTAGTTTGGGACTCATCATCAGTACTCACAAACAGTCAGGATTCGAACTCAGGACCTTCCATTTACAAGGCAAGCTAGCTCGTAGACCATTCAGCCACTGGGACCCGCCTGACTCAATGACCAACCCATGAATTCTAACTTCTACCGATGTGTGATATCAACGTGACCACCAGCCACTATCATCCATAGAGAATATTTGTCCTCTCTACCGACCTCGTGGATCCAACTGGTCATGACTACTCACTAGAACTCCAGTCAGCTTCGTTCAGTAGCCGGTCACTAGTGAGCATCAGATTAATCATCAAGAGTTTGTTTGAAGGTCTTTGATTTGTGTTCAGGTTTCACCACAGACTGATATCACTTCGAGAACCATTGAAAATGGCCGGCAGTGAGTATTGGACAGTTGTTTCATCCTAAAATCACGAATTGGTTGAAGTTCGTTACATCAGAGTGTGAGTGTCCTTTATTGTTTTCGTTGTTTTTGTCTATGCTGGCTAGGATGCACCTCCAGACAACTGATCACTTCGAAATGCTTCCCCAACACTGCGGTAGACACAGAAGTCAGATACATCTGCGACAGCTGCGACAACGACAACTTTATTATTCACAATACAGAGTAAATTATCCTTTACACATCAACCATAAATAAATAATCAATATCTGATTGAGACATCTATAAAAAACAAAATAATTGAGCAAAGAATATCCTTTTCGATAATTTCCTCGTTAGGTTCTTACAATTATAAAATATAATAATTGTTGTCGTTACAATAAAGGCCAGTTATGCGGCAGATACATTTTTTAACGTAGAATAACAGATTAGCAGTTATGGGGTGTCAAAATAAATAGTCGTATTTGTGTGACAAACGTCGTGCTAGGCTGAAATCGATTACAAAATAATGTAAAACGGGAGACAATGGTGATTAATCATAATAGATTTGTAGAGTGTGGGGTAAGAAAATTGACAAGTCAGTTCAAGGTTATAAAGGCGTCAGGTGAGTGGCTAGTACAAAGTGGTCTGTATTAAACAGGAGATAGTAAGATTGCAATGAGAGGTTCATCATGAAATAACGAATATGTCAAATGAAACAGGTGGAGGCATATATTGAGAAAAAAGAGATAATATCACTAATAATAAGTCCGTTTGTATAAATGGAAAATTCGAAAGTATTGAGAGAATGTTTGCATGAAGGGCATAAATTATGACGAATAATAATAATATTTGTGATAATAAGCAAAGGAAAACAAACCAAGAGGGTTAAGGGGAAGGAGCCCTCTTGGTGAGAAGAAGAATCATCAATCCAAGTTCGGCCATGGTAGGAACAGTGTTTGGACGTGTTCTTTTTGGATACAAAGTTCCGGTTTAGTCGATCTTATTGCAACAGCTTCAGCTATGTGTAGGAGACGTAAGCGAACTGTACGTGATTACGACTTCGGAATTAAGTATATAACCCTGAAAGCTGTGTTGACATCGATATGATGTCCGGTATCGACCAAGTGTAACAGGATCGAGCTTTTTATGCACTTAATTTTCCCCCTGCTGAACCAAGCTGGTAAATGTTCTCGAACCCGTAGACGAACCTGCCTAATCGTGAGCCTTATATAACTTGAACCACAGGAACAGTTGAAATGGTATATGCATGAAGAAGAGCTAAGCCTAGGCAATACATCTTTGAGTTGCTGGGTGAACATTGGACGGCTACTGAAAGATAGACACAGACGTGCAGAGTAGAAAGTTTTCTTGATCGCCCTGGTTAAACGTTGCGATAGAATCTCCGCAGGAGTATCCCCCTAGAATTGGAGACGTAAAAACAGAGGCTTTTTCTCCACCGTTGCCAGTTCATGTTTACGACTACTGTAACCTATGTTGGCTTTTGTCACACGAATACGACTATTTATTTTGACACCCCACAATTACTAATCTGTTATTCTACGTTAGAAATGTATCCACCGCATAACTGGCCATCATTATTGTAACCACAACAAATATTATATTTTATAATTGTAGGAACCTGAAGAGGAGCAATTATTGAAAAAAAAATATTCTTCGTTCAGATTGGCTTTTAATATATGTATATATGTTTATGTACATATAATATTCTAAAATAGTAGTCAATAACAATATTGATTGATAAGAATATGTACAAAAATCAAGGCAGCCCAAGGTACCAACAACTCCTAAAAAGGCCTTATGCTTACAAATTCAGTTCCTCGGGAATAACATTAGCGGGATACTAACACAACAGCTTAGAAATGAGGTAAAAAGAACATTCCCTGCTGCCGCTGAATTGCACTGTTTCTTCAAAACCACCCGCCCCCGTATTTTGCGTTCGGGAGTAAAAGATAAACTGCCTAATTTCGCCTCTTCCATGTGTAAGTATCTACCAATTTAACTATTCGTGTGTAGTAGGCCAGTTACATAGGCCGTATAATAAGGCGTGTTTATCGTCGGATTTCCGAACATCACCCTGTCTAGTGGTTAAGTAAAGGACAAACAAATTCTATTCGTAGAGGTATTCTATCTCAACCTTGGATACAGAACACAAGATTGATGTCAACGAGGCTTTCAAAGTCATTTACCGCATACCAACAAATTTTAACTTCTCCTTGAGAGCTCGTTTACTTCATGATTTTCGATAGTTCTCCAGCCGATATCAATCCGTGATCACATTTGAACTAGTCTATATGTGTTCTTTCTGTTTATACCTAAAAACTAGAACAGAAAGGGGAAATTATTTTAAATTTCATTCTATCTTCCATTTGATTATTATTTTTCCAATGAGCATACGTGTGTAGGGGGAGACAAAATATTCAATCAACCAATAAAATTTCGCCATTTAACGCAATCAGTATTAAGCTTAATTTTCTATTGGTTCAAGTATTTCCTGAAAGCTGATTGGTTCATTCCATCAAACTAAGACATTTTAATTTTATCGCAGTGATAAGGTCTCCAAAATAAAAAAATAAAATAATCGAAAGCCTGACATCACACACACACTACTCCAATAACATTGATTGATTTATTTTATGAAATTGACGCTTTCAAAGGAATATTATTAATAAAATGGATTTGGGTTTTTCAACTCTGATCAATACTAAAAACTCCATGTATCTGCATAATTCCCATCCTATTGAATTAAATAATCCAAGTGCTGCCCCATATCCACTGGCAGGACCATTTATGTACAATAATGCCTATCATAATTTCCCTACAATGAGTGAATTGAATACCTTGTCAAATCGTACAGATCATTCGCCGACCTCAGAACAGACGACAACAGCACAACCATTGGAGAGAATTTCATCATATTGCAGTTATCCGCATCAATCGTTTCATCAAACGTTTGGAAATGAGACAATGAAATCCAATAAAACCAGTGAGCAGATGAACTCAAATCCTACAACACCATGTGATTTACGTATTGAAGCAGGAGAGAATGTCACTGATGCTACAGAAGCCCTACAGAATACACAGACAAGACTAGATAATAACGGCAATAATAATAATAATAATAATAATTCATGGCATAAATTGAATTCCTCTCATCCAATGTTTCCGTATCATGCTTCACAGGTTGATAATGACACGTCATCCAGTAGTTATAATAATAATAATATGAATAAATATATGAACAATACATCAAGATATTATGATCAATACTTATATAATTCTATATTCCCTCCTTATGCCTATGGTGGTTCCTTTCCAACAGCCTATCCAACATCAAATATGCTGTCTAGCACATCACCAGTACTTCCACCGGCGCCATCACATCCTCAACAATATCTTGATGAATGTCATCGACAACACTTGCCGTTGATGAATCGGACTACTTTCCTCTCGTCACAGTTTAATTCAAATCCATTTTTAAATATTCTCCCGCCTAATAGTCATTTTACACAAAATAACAGCTGTGGTATTACTGGTAATGGAAATAATTCAAAAACACCGTCAGCAATCGGTACTCCTGTTACTCCTGCTACGACTACAACTAAGGAAATGAATCGTACACGTAATCATTTGAAAAGAAAATCAATGCATGAGGATAATTTGAATATGATGCTTGTACAACATGAACATAAGCCCCATTCATATCATCCCATCAACAACAACAACACCAACAACAACAGAATCCTAATTCTTCTTATTTGAATTGCCTAATTTGCTAAAAATCAATAATAGCAATCATGAAAATATTATAATGAATGGAAAACTTGATAATAGTAAGTCAATTTTTAATAATAATAATAGTAATAATAAATTGTAATTATAATAATTTAATTTAATTAGTATTTTTAATTGGTGATGTGATTAACTAACTTATATGGCGTCGAAATTACAGGCTACTGTTTGTGTATATTTAAGGATTTGAGTACTGCTCAATAGCAGTTCGTTCCGTCTTCCTCATTTATGATAGTCAGTGAGACATGACCAGTGAAAGTAGAAGACATGAAAAGGCCAGCTGGCTAGCTAGTTAGGTAGGTGTCTTTCATTATAGGTGTCTGCTTTCAATCTCCCGTCTTAGGTGGTAGGTATAATAGGGTCAGTAATACTGAGGTTTGGCGTTGAGTGTTAGGTAGGTGGGAGGGGTATCAGTCGATAAGGTTATGAGGTTACATTGATTGAGATGGTTAGAACGTGTGTCTAGCCATCGATTGCCTTCCTCTACAATAGGCACTGCCAGCTGACATAGGATGGTTAAGGCTGGAGAAGAGCTATCACGTGGTTGTCAAACTAAAAGATGACTTCATCCGTCAGCCAAATCCATAAGGGTTAATTTCAACCAGCCAGCCACATATGGAGGCGTAGACTACCTGACTGCCTCGTTGGGGTCCTCGTGATGGTAAGAACCAATAACAGTGGCTGGAGGAAATTAGTGATATGGCTGAAGATCCTCGTTGTTAATGGCTGTTGCGGATGCATTCACTCACTCTGTGATTTTTCATTTCCAATCAGACTTTATTGTTCTTCCATATAACGACTATTCTTTTTCTCTGACCCACACTTCTATTTATTATCTCTCCATTGTGAATCCCTCTTTACTCTCTTCTGTTGGTTTGTGTGGTAGATAGGGCAGGAGTGGCAACTTGAAACTGCTGCACATCTGTGCAAATTTGTGTGTTGAAACCAGTCAGTTAGTGGAAAACTTCCAATCAGGGGCCTAAAGATTACCAGACTGATACCTCGTCAGATGAGCCACGAAACTTAACTGTGATGGGAATGAACTCCACCCTGTTGTAATGGGAAAAAATGAAGCGATATGAATCGTCTCAGAGCTAGGAATCAACGGCGTCCCAATTACTAACCAGATTCTCATGTCGTCATTTCATTGCTGTCATCATGGGGAATGCTTAGCTGTCATTGTGATGAATGAACCACATGCAAGTTTCTTGGCTGATTTTCATCACACTATCTGTGGCTATATATGTCTTCTCTCCGGCAGATTCTACGTCTTATCAGAAGGGCTTCGTGTGCTTTTGGAATTGGGTGTGGGCGGTTGTCACTTCCCGGGCTGCCCACGAACCACGGAAGTTGATTTTTTTTTTCGGTGGTGTACCTGTAACAGAAAGAAAATTATTGTTGCATAACTGCAGAGCCCAGTGGACAACTGCTTAGGGCTGTTAGCACACGGCCCGTTTGAAATAGTTTTTAGGTTTGGTTCCGTATTAGTAACCTACCGATAGCTACGGACCACCATGTATGATAAGTCGGGATGTGCAATTCTCGGGGACGACCTTTTCTAACCTTTCTGTTGAGTGAAGAGGCAGCATAGCATAGGGAAATACCTTACCGCTGCTGTTACACCCCTGTTCCCCAGCAGTACAACTTCACCCATGACCCAGCTTAGTGTAACTTCTTGCACTATACAAGTAACTACTTTTAGTGTAAATCGCCATCCTAAAATTCTTCCTGGCATAGTAAGACCTGTAAGAACATTAGTTCCAGCCAGTGTATACCTCGTTGAGTCATTGCGATATTTAAGCTCGATGACTACCACGTCAAGGTAGCAGCTACTGTCTTTCAGGATTCTACATCTGAATTTCGATCCCTTCAATGCGTCATACACTCAAAAATACTGAAAATCTTGGATTGGATAACTGAGTTATAAAAAGAAGCAACTGTTTACAGCGCATCCAACTTTAATAGTCTGCAAACGTAGCTCGGTATCTTAAGTACAGTTGAGCTTTCAATGGGTGTTGGTCACGAGTTTGAATCTTGCTCCACCTGATTCAGCCAAAGCATATGGGTAATCTCATCAGCTTTCACACCAATATGCGGGACTCATAGGCAGTAATTCAAATTGTCAGACTTCATATCGGAGGAAGGAGAAATTATAATAATCAATAACTTTATTATGAACAGTGTTTATACATAATGTACAGAATCCTTAGCTGAGTTTATTGCAGGATATTTTCTCTTCACCCACGATCTTCAAACAAAAATATAACATTCATTGACAGTAGGGAGTGTGACACAATTCTGTCTGTCTGACTTGAAGCGCAAACCAATCCAAGATGTGACGACTCGTCTTTGTCTCCCTCCTTCGAGAAATGCACGACGACATTTGGTTGAATGTCAGTTATAAAATGCTGAGGAGTACATTTTGTGAACGCAGGACACACCACTGAGGAACAGTCATCTCATGCATTGGGATAAGCTGTCATTCACCGGAGATAATACTTTTTCTCATGATTAGTAGGAACTGACGAATTAGCAGGTTGTAGAAGTTTTTAAATACTCGCCAGAGTAAACAACAATACTGTTGGAGGTGATATTTTAGTAGATTTAAACAAGTTGAATAAGAGAAATTATATGCAGTATGCTGATGGGGGGTTGGGATTCAGCAGCCCAAGTTTGAGACCACCATTGGTTCTTAGCATCCCCAGGAGTCCGACCAGACAGTCTACACCTCAAACCAACTGTCAAACACTGTCATGGATTGACACCAGATTCTGACATGACTATTCCTAACACTATTCCAACCTAATCCTTTCTCAGATAATATTACTCATCAAGGAATATGATGACTTGACATGCTTAACACATATCCAAACCATCACAATCGATGCCGTTTGACAATCTCGTTGATCGACTTACCCAATTGATCTGGCACTTTATGCATAACCTAGTACTTAATATAAATAGCGTTAGATTTCTTACGCTAAACCCCGTAGTATTTATCATATATATGTTTTTACGAGTTTCACCACGGATTGATATCAGTTAGAGAATAATTGAAAACCAGAAGGGAGTACTACCAGACAGCTGTTTCGTCAGCCTAGTTTGGGAATCATCGGCAGTACACACCCACCAACAGGCTTCGAACCCAGGACCTTCCGGTTACAAGGCAAGCTAGCTCGTATACCATTTAGCCACTGGGATACGATTCACTGGCCAGCACATGAATTCTAACTTCTACCAATTCGTGATCTAGCGCGACTGAACCAACCAATGTCACCAGTGGGAAATCCATCCTCACACACTTGACTGGATGGACCTCACTGGTCACGACTTCCCACTAGAACTCCAGGCAACTTTTCCTGTGGCTAGTCACTAGCAAGCTAAACTCAAGAATTGGTAGAAGTTAGAATTCGTGGACTCGCCACTGAATCGTATCCATATACGAGCTTGCCTTGTAACCGGAAGGTCCTGGGTTCGCACCCTAGCTGTGAGTGCGTACTGATGAAGAGTCCCAAACTAGGATGAAACAACTGTCCAGTTCTCTCCAATTTGCTTTTCCAATGATTCCTTAATCGGTATCAGCTCATGATGAGATCCTGAAATTGAAGAAGAATTGAAGATCTCAGCTGTGGTAGCATTTGAATTACTAGTCTGGCCGTGTACTTCCTCACTTACCAGGCTATGAAGCATAATCTAATGATCCGGTAAAATTGTTAGTGATGTAGTAAGTATGTTGTGGCTCATCGGCTTAGGCTCCCGCCTGGTTCAGCCTGGACATTAGTCATCACCCAGCAAGCTTAGCTTAAATCTTGGATAAATAAGTCTCGACAGTAAAAAAAATATTGTGATTAATAATGTTAACCAGTGGTGCCTGAATACAAATCAGATTTCAAACTTATGCCTTTTTCTACCTAGCTAGCGTATTACGTCATGCATTTATTCTATGAGTCTCTTTTTATTGTTGACATCTATTCAGAAATCCAAAATGAAATTGATATTTTTGAGTATTAACTCTGTGTGACTCAAATTACGTCATACAAAGAAGTTGTTGCTTTTGTTAACACACACCTGTTGCTAAGTCACTTGTGAATAAAGCAATCTCTAAGGTGAATCTCTAAGCTTATTACGTAATTCTTCTTCAAGTTGTTCCTTTTTTAGCTTAGTTGCTATCACACACACACACACACTATTGATATTGCCACAGAGACAACTGTACACACAAAAGTGTGTTAGAATTTCACTCTTACGTAATATGCTCATCAAAAGAGAGAAATATATTCTCTCTCATGTGATTAGTAATCACTTACACTCTACAATTGAAGAAACATGCAAGCAAAGGCATGCCAAGTTGATTATCACTCACAATGTATAGAAATTTTTTATATTTTTTTCTTAACCTACATTGATTCATTAGTTACTAAGGTGAAAGGGACCGTTGACACTCAATTTTTAACCAAAGAAATATTTGTAAGATCTCAGAAACCATATTGGTTACATAACTGTTTGAAATGAAACGAAATCAAGTATGAAGGCAACAAATACACTTAGTTAGTTAGTTAGTTAGTTAATTAGTTAGTTAGTTAGTTAGTTAGTTAGTTAGTTAGTTAATTAGTTAGTTAGTTAGTTAGTTAGTTAGTTAGTTAGTTAGTTAGTTAGTTAGTTAGTTAGTTAGTTAGTTAGTTAGTTAGTTAGTTAGTTAGTTAGTTAGTTAGTTAGTTAGTTAGTTAGTTAGTTAGTTAGTTAGTTAGTTAGTTAGTTAGTTAGTTAGTTAGTTAGTTAGTTAGTTAGTTAGTTAGTTAGTTAGTTAGTTAGTTAGTTAGTTAGTTAGTTAGTTAGTTAGTTAGTTAGTTAGTTAGTTAGTTAGTTAGTTAGTTAGTTAGTTAGTTAGTTAGTTAGTTAGTTAGTTAGTTAGTTAGTTAGTTAGTTAGTTAGTTAGTTAGTTAGTTAGTTAGTTAGTTAGTTAGTTAGTTAGTTAGTTAGTTAGTTAGTTAGTTAGTTAGTTAGTTAGTTAGTTAGTTAGTTAGTTAGTTAGTTAGTTAGT